CCGACAGGGGTTCGAGGTTCCCTGACAGTGGATTGGGGGGGGGGGCGATGTCTCCAATGAAAAAAATGAGCGTAGTCGAACGTTGCTTAAAATTTTTCGAAAGTGTTCCAGGGGGCGAAGCTAAGAAAAATATGACAATTTAGGGGATGCAAAGGCTTATTTAATCGGCCCTGCTGGCGCCACCCCGGCTCAGTACAACTTTAATAAGCCAAGACTTGATAAATTCCTTCGGCCAACATGAGATGTTGGTCCAAGGCCCGGCATGAATATAATGTAAAGACTATTAACAATATTACAGACATTCCAATAATATTTAATTCAATAACATTTTATAAATTACTTCATATCTCATATCAAAATGCAAAATGATGAGAATGTTTAAAAAATGCCTGTGTCATTAATACTGTATACTTTTTGTTTATGTAGATTGAATCTGATGAAAACAAGGAATCTAAAGGCTACGGCTTTGTCCATTTTGAGAACAAAGATGCTGCCTCTAAAGCCATCAGTGAAGTGAATGGAATGTTAATCAATGGAAAGAAAGTGTAAGTGATAAGTACCATAAAATTGATGAAAATTGGAAAGTGGAAAAAAATTAATGAATAATTTTAACTTAGGTGAATGAGATAATAATCTATTCCAATCAAGAGGGGGAAAGGATGAATGATTCCATTTTCATGCTCATGTGTACAAAATATGTTTTTTAGAAACATCCTTTTAATACCAGCCAACATTACCTCACAGGTACATTGACTGGTATTGAAATCTTGTTTTTAATACCAGCTAAATCTACTTCACAGTTACGTAGGTCATTGGATTTCTCGCAAAGACCGACATGCTGACGTGGGAGATAAGATAAAGAGCTACACAAATGTTTTTATCAAAAACTTGAGTGAAGAAATATCAGATGACCAGCTGATGGAAATGTTCTGCAAATATGGCAAGATTGTTAGTGCCAAAGTAATGCGAGACGATGATGCTAAAAGCCGTGGCTTTGGTTTTGTGCGTTTTGAGGACCATGAAGCAGCATCGCAGGTGACTTATAAGTTTATAAAAGTTAATATTATTTTATGTAACATCCTTTTAAACAGCACTTAGTGAAATAAAAATCACATCTGGTGCCCTGATTTTTCAAGAGAGAGGAGCTTGTTGCAGTGGCGTATCTAGAAGTCTTGAAATGGGGGTGCTGATGGGGGAGCGCGGGGGGGCTTGATCAGTTGAAGGGCTAATTTAAAAAAAATTTAATTATCATTTAAACTATAGCCTCAAATTCTTAATCGTTTTTTCTTTTTTTTTTTTTTTTAGGTGGCCTGATCTTAAGCGTCTTCGGACCTATACAGGCCTCCATTCATTTATCAATTAAAAAAA